CCCCATAAAGTCGCTCTGACACGTCTGTAGGATGACCAGGGGCATTGTCTAACACCAGGAGGCACTTAAGTTCTAATTTCTTTTCAGTTAGGTAATTTTTCACATTGGGGGCAAATGCATGGTGTAACCAGTTATAGAAAAATTCCCTAGTGACCCATGCCTTACTGTTTGCCTCCACAGCACACACAAATTATCCTTGAGGACATTCTTTTGCCTGAACGCTCTGGGAGTTTCAGAGTGATACACTAATAAAGGCTTCACTTTGCAATCACCAGTAGCATTGGCACACATCAACAAAGTAAGCCTGTCTTTCATAGGCTTATGTCCTGGGAGTGCCTTTTCCTCCTGAGTAATGTAGGTCCTGCTTGGCATTTTCTTCCAGAACAGGCCTGTTTCATCACAATTAAACACTTGTTCAGGTTTCAGTCCTTCAGTTTCTATGTACTCCTTGAATTCCTGCACATATTTTTCAGCCGCTTTGTGGTCCGAACTGGCAGCTCACCATGCCTTATCACACTATGGATGCCACTACGCTTCTTAAATCTCTCAAAACCAACCTTTGCTGGCCTTAAATTCACTCACATCATCACTAGTTGCAGGCATTTTTTTAATTAAATCGTCATGCAACTTCCTAGCCTTTTCACATATGATCGCTTGAGAGACGCTATCTCCTGCTATCTGTTTTTCATTTATCCACACCAATAAGAGTCTCTCAACATCTTCCATCAATTGCGATCTTTGTTTCGAAAACACAGTTGAACCTTTGGCAAGAACAGCTTCCTTGATTGTCTTTCTGGTGCCCACAATAGTAGCGATGGTTGATTGGGGTTTCTTGTACAGCTTGACTAGGTCGGCTATACGCACTCCACTTTCATACTTATCAATTATCTCTTTCTTCATCTCTATAGTAATTCTTACCCTTTGAGGTGTAGGGTTGGCACTAGAAGCTTCCTTGGGGCCCATGGTCACTTATTTTCCAGAAACAGCACCGAAAATACTGTAATAATACGAAATATTCCGAGTGTATGCTTGGATGTTACCGCGGAGGCTGGCTGGTAAACAATGGGACGGAGCGGCACATGTGAGGCTGGCTGAGGGCACATTGGACGCGTCTCGGACGAAAATCGGTATGCGGGTTTTTAATCGGTATGCGGGGCAAAAATTTTCCGATAAAAGTAATCGTTATGCGGAAAAATCGCTATGCGATGCCATCGTTATGCGGGGGTCCACTGTAATCAAAATCAGCTCAATTTCTGCAATATGACTTCCATTCCATAAAATGAGACCAGGAAAACTAGAATACAACCATAAATATCATACGAAAATACAGTGCAAAGTTACTGTTTTGAACCAAAAACACGGTCAAAGTTTTTTTTTTATTATTATTCACTGTGTGCTGCAGGATTTTTTTGTACTGGGCACACTGACCACATAGACCCATTCTTTCATATGTAGGCCTACCAGCTTTCCTCTTGCTAGATTTGAAAGCGCTAGAATTTAGGCGTACTAGTACATCAATAACCTTGGTGCATAAGCTGTACTAGTACGTCGGAAACCCTGAAAGTGTTAAGCCTGCCGATAATGCTCTGCATACAAGGGGCTTTTGGCATGTACACTTAATCATTGTATTTCTTTATATATCTATGTATCATGTCCAAATTAATAATAAATAAATAAATAAATAAATAAATCCTGTGACAACAACATTGCGAGTTACCACACACTGTATATTATAACGTAAATATTTTTTCCCTTTTTTCAGTTTTCAATGTTTTTGTTGCCTATTATATGAACTAGAAGTTTGCTTTTATAGACACTTTTATAGGTACTGAATTAGGGTTTTCAGCACTATTCTCAGTGTTTCCTATGTCACTTTCACTTACCTTCAACTTGAATAAATAGAACTCCATTCCTGAATCACTGTCATGTCTGTCAAAGCTGTCTTGATCTAACAAAAATGTTAATCGGTTTGGGAGTAAGAGTATCTTAGCTTGCCATGGTGTGCAATGGTGGACTGACATACTGTTTCCATGATGCTCCGCAGGGTCCAGGATGTGTAGATCCACTTGCTCATGCCTATTACTCCCAGGCCTCTCATGCCAAATTTGAACTTCCTGTGGCACTGATCCCACTGATATAAATCTACATGACCAACATTATAAGGGTTAATTATTAACCCTATCAAGGTCCAGACCCTGATCTGAAGCCTGTCCACAGGGTCCAAGAATTTTCCAAAAAAATTTTTGTTATTTTTTCTTATGAAATGGTAGAGAATCTTTTTCTGAAGGTAATAAAACAAAAAGTTTGAAATTTGATGGAAAATTGACAAAATTACACTTCTGAATTTTGCTTCATCAGCGATATTTACACATCAGTGATTTTGTCCACTTTGACTCCCATTTTAGATCAATTGCATTAATCCAGTCAACCAAATTCTTAACTATTTCTCTAGTATTACTTCTATTTTATTGATTGAGCACAAGAAATCACCCACTCAGCTGTTTCAACTACCAAATAAAGTGATCGGAAATTGGGAATTTGGCCAATTTCACACAAAGTTCAAAATATTCGTTTCAAAATAGGGTTCAGAATAAACAATGCAGGCATTCCTGGCACTAAAATAACATTTCCTCCATTTATTAATTATGTTTTCAGGCTTTACAGATGAATTCTATTTTTATTTTATATTCACATAATGAATTTTTATGCACACCAAAAAATAGAAGATTTACTGCTATGCAATATTGTAATACTTGTATAAATAATATCAGTGTATTCACGAATGCACATTAGACCCACCAGTTGATGTGTATTGGATGTTTGACGTCATTTGTTTACTCTTGAACATCGGCAAAAATTGAACATTTCTGCTACTTTTAGCTCATTTTCAAGCCATTTTCAGCACTAAAGTCAGTCAAAATCATCTCTAGTTCTGTAATATGTCTTCCATTCTATTAAGTGAGACCAAAAAACCATGAATGCAACTGTAAAAAGCATACGAAGAAACATGGCAACGTCACTGTTTTAATCCAAAAATACTGTCGCAATTTTTTTTTTCTCCATGTGCACTGTGTGGTGCAGGATTTGTTTTATGTGGTGCACATTTACCACATAGATGTATTCAATGGGTAAATTTTCAAATAAAAAATTAGTAGATTTTAAGAGGATTTCTGCAGTAGCAGCTTGCAGTTTTGCATGAAGGAACATATAAGATTTATTTATGCAGTATGTGGTGTTCATGGTTCTGTTATTAACCTTCATTTAACCCTTTGACTGTTTTGGTCGCATATATACATCTTACGAGCCAGTGTTTCAGACGTATATATACTCAATAATTCTAGTGGTTTCAAATCAAGCAGGAGAAAGCTGGTAGGCCCACATGTGAGAGAATGGGTCTATGTGCACCACATAAAAAAATCCTGCAGCACACAGTGCATAATGAGAAAAAAAAAACTGACCATTTTTTTGGATTAAAATGCCGACTTCGAGGTGTATTTTCATATAGTATTTATCGTTGTATTCTCGTTTTCGTGATCTCAGGTGATAAAATGGAAAACATATTGCGGAAATAGAGATGATTTTGATTAGTTTCACTATGAAAGCGACCTTGAAATTGAGCTCAAAGTAGTGGAAATGTTCAATTTTTACCAATGTTCAAGAGTAAGCAAATCACACCACACGTCCAATACACATCAACTGGGGAGTCTAAAAACTCTTTTACTAGTGCATGTTTATTATTTATACCATTTTACAATAATGCAGTAGTCTGCATAACAGTAAATTTTGTATTTTTTGTACGAATAAAAAATCAAAATAGAAAGCGAGAGTAATATAAGAGGGGCCTAGAGACATGACTAATGAACAGAAGATATGTTATTTTAAGTGCCAAGAATGTCTGCATTGTTTATTCTGAACCCTATTTTGAAATTGGCATCTTTTTTAATTTGCATGAAATTGGCCAAATTGCCAATTTCTGACCACTTTCTTGGGTAGTTCAAATTGGTAAATGCGCGGTTTCTTGTACACAATTGATATAAAAAATGGAGTTCTAAAGAAATAGCTATGAGTTTGGTCAACTGGAACAACGGAATTGGCCAAAAACAGGGCTCAAAGTCGGTGAAATCGCCGATGCGTATATTTCCCTGAGACCACTAACTTCGCGGGAGCATAATTCCATGAGTTTTTGACCAAATTTTGTACTTTTGGTGTCATTACCATCGGGAAAAGATTCTCTGTCATTTCACAAGAAAAAATCATTTTTTTTTTTCCAAAAATTTTGCGACGTAGAATGAGTTTCAGAAAGGGGCTTGCGAGAGTCAGAGTTAAATTTAGTTACTGGACTTCCAAGTACATTTAAATCTTAGTGTGAAAGTTCTTATAGATTATATTCAAAGTATATTGCCAAGGTTTACCACTGGAAACCCATATATCTAAGAGATGTTGGAGGAATACAAGCTTCTATCAACTCTCAACTAGCCCACGAATTGGAAATACAAATTAAATGTGGTTTTGGTCCATATCAGCTATTACTAAGTTAAAGTGAGAAAGAAAGGTGGAGAATATCAAAAGTCATGAGTTATGTTAAAGGAAAGTTCGAAAGGTGACAACCAGGGTTGGGATAACCGTGTGTTGTAGTGGTGTTGTAATGAGATAGGCAACCATCTACATTTTTCATTTCCTCTGTGAGCTAGATGTGATGTGTTCCAGCCATTATACTGTAACATATTCTTATAGCAATTTATTGGCTCAAATTGGAGTGTCATAATACAGTAGTTTCCTATGTTGGTATTGTTATTGCCTCTCCTGCTAATTTTGTAGATAATAATAATAGTTCAATAATGATAATTTGGAATTTCATACTTTCAAGAAATTCACAAGTGCTTGCACACCAAGCCATAAATACAACAACAATGATAAATGCAATCACTGTAATGGCTAGTCATAAAAACAAGGAAGCTCTACATTTTATTATTAATTTATTTTCTCTTCATTTTTACTAGATGATTATCGTAAACTTGTGGAAGCTGGCCGGGAAGAGTTTGAAGCGGAGGTCAGATCACTTTTACCTGAAGTGAAATTAGGGGAAACAAGTGACAAATTAACACCAGATGAACTGAATCTGCTTATTGCTCATGCCCACCGCAAGGTCCTACAACTCCAGAAGCAAGTTGCCCGCCAACAGGTATCTATACTGTTGCTTAAGTGGTACAGAAGGTACAGTGACCGGGTGGCAGCAACATTGGTGACTTCTGTAAAGTCACTTTTTTTTATTTTACTTTTTTGTTACTTTTATAATTTTGTTTTTTTCCAGTAATGTTTGTGGCCTATGAGACCAATATAATGCATAATATATGTATGTACACTCATATTCAACACAATAACTGTACTGATATTTTCATCATTATTTTGTTTACAGTACGGTGGACCCCCACCTTACGATATTAATCCGTTCCTGAGAGCTCATTGTATGCTGAAATTATTGTAAGGTGAATTAATTTTCCCCATAAGAAATAATGGAAATCAAATTAATCTGTGCAAGACACCACAAAGTATGAAAAAAAAAATTTTACCACATGAAACATTAATTTTAATACACACAAACTGACACTTACCTTTATTGAAGATCTGGTGATGATTGATGGGATGGGAGGGGAGAGTATGGAAGTTGTTAATGTTTAGAAGGGGAATCCCCTTCCATTAGGACTTTAGGTAGCACGTCCTTTTCCAGGATTACTTCCCTTCTTCTTCTAATGCCACTAGGACCAGCTGACTGTGGTGCAGCAACAGCTGACCGTGGTGCAGCAACAGCTGACTTTGGTGCAGCGCAGTGACTGTGGTGCAGCAACAGCTGACTTTGGTGCAGTAGCAGCTGACTGTGGTGCAGCAACTGCTGGCTGTGATGCAGCAGCAGCTGACCATGGTGCAACAGCAGCTCACCATGGTTCAGCAACAGCTGACTGTGGTGCAACAACAGCTGACTTTGGTGCAGCAGCAGCTGACCATGGTGCAGCAACAGCTGACCATGGTGCAGCAACGGCTGACTTTGGTGCAGCAGCAGCTGACCATGGTGCAGCAACAGCTGACTATGGTGCAGCAACAGCTGACCGTGGTGCAGCAACAGCTGATGGTGGTGTAGCAGCAGCTGACTGTGGTGCAGCAGCAGCTGACTGTGGTGCAGCAGCAGATGACCGTGGTACAGCAGCAGCTGACGGTGGTGCAGCAGCAGCTGACGGTGGTGCAGCAGCAGCTGACGGTGGTGCAGCAATAGCTGCTGGCTAACTGGTGCAGCAACAGCTGACCATGGTGCAGCAACAGCTGACCATGGTGCAGCAACAGCTGACTGTGGTGCAGCAACAGCTGATGGTGGTACAGCAGCAGCTGACCGTGGTACGATAGTACATATTTCTCACCCTTTTTACCACAGGGTTGGCACTAGAAGCTTTCTTTGGGTGCATGGTGGCTTATTTAGCAGTTACAAGCACTATAAACAATGGAATAATACAAAATGTATCGAATGTATGCATGCAACCGGCCACCCTGGCTTGTAAACAATGATGGCAGGGCAGCTGAGGTGCTCAGGCTGGATGGACAGGTTCGGGGCGAGTCATGTTGGTCAGAAACAGCTGATGGTGGTGCAGCAGCAGCTGATTGTGGTGTAGCAGCAGCTGACCATGGTGCAGCAGCAGCTGACTGTGGTGCAGCAGAAGCTGACCGTGGTGCAGCAACAGCTGACTTTGGTGCAGCAGCAGCTGTGGTGCAGCAACAGCTGATGGTGGTGCAGCAACAGCTGACCGTAGTGCAGCAGCAGCTGACTGTGGTGCAGCAACAGCTGACGGTGGTGCAGGAACAGCTGACCGTGGTGCAGCAGCAGCTGACTGTGGTGCAGCAGCAGCTGACGGTGGTGCAGCAACAGCTGACCGTGGTGCAGCAACAGCTGACAGTGGTGCAGCAACAGCTGACCGTGGTGCAGCAGCAGCTGACCGTGGTATGGTAGTACATATTTCCCACCGTTTTTACATATGATCACTTGAGAGATGGTATCTCCTGCTATCTGTTTTTCGTTTATCCACACCAATAACAGTCTGTCAACATCTTTGTGTACTTGCGATCTCTGTTTCGAAAACAAACTTGCACCTTTTGTAAGAACAGCTTCCTTGATTGCCATTTTGTTGGCCACAATAGTAGTAATGGTTGATTGGGGTTTGGTATACAACCTGGCCAGCTCCGAGACACGCACTCCACTTTCGTACTTAGCAATTATCTCTTCATTTCCATAGTAATTTTCACTTTTTTTACCACAGGGTTGGCACTAGAAGCTTTCTTGGGGCCGATGGTGACTTATTTTGCAGGTACAATCACTAAAAATGCTGTGATAATATGAAATATTCCGATTGTATGCGTGGATGCGACCACACTGGCTGGCTTGTAAACACTGGCACCCATGGGGCAGCTGAGGCGCGCTCAGGCCACACGTGGGACACGTCTCGGAGGAATCACGTGAGGTGAGTTTTTTAGCATGAGGCAAGCCAGTGTGCCATTGTTTACAAGCCGTTGCGGTCGATTCCACGTGTTTTTAATGCTTGTAACCACTAAATAAGCCACCATGGGCCCCAAGAAAGCTTCTAGTGCCAACCCTGTAGTAAAAAGGGTGAAGTGTACCATCGAAATGAAAAAAGGAAAAGGAGATAATAGAAAAGTACGAAAGTGGAGTGCATATCTCGGAGTGGAAAAGTTATACAACAAACCCCATTCAACCATCACTGCTATCTTGTGTTACAAAAAGGCAATCAAGGAAACTGTTGTTGCAAAAGGTGCAAGTGTGATTACAAAACAGTGATTGCAAATACTCGAAGATGTGGAGAGACTTATTGGTGTGGATAAACGAGAAACAAATATCCAGGGATTGTATATCTCAGTCAATAATATGTGAAAAGGCAAGGCAGTTACATGATGGTCTCATTAAGAAAATGCCTCCAAATAGTGCTGCTGCTGATGAATTTAAGGCCAGCAAAGGCTGGTTTGAGAGATTTAAGAATCGTAGTGGCATACACAGTGTGATAAGGCATGGTGAGGCTTCCAGCTCAGACAAAAATGCGGCTGAAAAATATGTGCAGGACTTTAAGGAGTACATAGAAACTGAAAACTTAAAACCCGAACAAGTGTTTAATTGTGACGAAACAGGCCTGTTTTGGAAGAAAATGCCAAACAGGACCTACATTACTCAGGAGGAAAAGGCACTCCCATGACATAAGCCTATGAAAGACAGGCTGAAATTTTGGAAAATTTCCAGACATAATAGAGAGATTTCCTCACAGAGAATGTAAACAAACCGGGTGGGGCATGCTGTATTTGAAAGACTGCTCATCATATAGCAAATTTTGGTCATAATTTGAAATTGCCATATTAGCAGAATGCCATAAGGCAAAATGCCATAAAGCTGGGCCCTACTGTATATTATAACATCACTGGAGTACACTTGCTGGGTTAACAAACAATATATATTGTAACATCACTGGAGTACATTTGGTGGGTAAACAAACAATATAGTATATTGTAACATCACTGGAGTACACTTGGTGGGTTAACAAACAATATAGTATATTGTAACATCACTGGAGTACACTTGGTGGGTTAACAAACAATATAGTATATTGTAACATCACGGGAGTACACTTGGTGGGTTAACAAACAATATAGTATATTGTAACATCACTGGAGTACACTTGGTGGGTTAACAAACAATATAGTATATTGTAACATCACTGGAGTACACTTGGTGGGTTAACAAACAATATAGTATATTGTAACATCACTGGAGTACACTTGGTGGGTTAACAAACAATATAGTATATTGTAACATCACTGGAGTACACTTGGTGGGTTAACAAACAATATAGTATATTGTAACATCACTGGAGTACACTTGGTGGGTTAACAAACAATATAGTACAGTACATTGTAACATCACTGGAGTACACTTGGTGGGTTAACAAACAATATAGTATATTGCATAAAGCAAGAATTGCTGCCTCCAGTATACAGTTGACCCTCAACTAATGGCAGCATTAAGTAACGGCAATTTCGTCTAACGGTGCTTTTTGGCATAAAAAATGCCTCTATCAATGGCGAAAAACCCAACCAACGACGTTCTTCAGGAACGTGTCGATGCAGGCCCAGCCACTCCAAGAGTCAGTGTGCCATTGTTTACAAGCTGTTGTGGTCGGTTTCCACATGTGCCTCCCATACATTTTGGATTATTCCACTGTTTCTAGTGCTTGTAGCAGCGCTGTATAGCCCTTGTGGCTTAGCGCTTCTTTTTGATTATAATAATCTAGTGCTTGTAACTGCTAAATAAGCCACCATGGACCCCAAGAAAGCTTCTAGAACCATCCCTTTGGTAAAGGATGTGAGAAACACGATAGAAGTCAAGAAAAAGTTTGTAGAAAAATACGAAAGTGGTGGTGGTAGAGGGTGGTAGTGATGGTGGTAGTGGTTGTGATGGTAGATGGTGGTTGTGATGGTGGTAGAGGGTGATAGTGGTTGTGATGGTGGTAGAAGGTGGTAGTGGTTGTGATGGTGGTAGAAGGTGGTAGTGTGGTGGTGGTAATGGTGGTAGAGGGTGGTACTGGTTGTGATGGTGGTAGAAGGTGGTAGTGATGGTGGTGGTAATGGTGGTAGAGGGTGGTACTGGTTTGATGGTGGTAGAAAAATACCACCAGGTGGTAGTGATGGTGGTGGTAATGGTGGTAGAGGGTGGTACTGGTTGTGATGGTGGTAGAGGGGGGGTAGTGATGGTGGTAGAGGGTGGTACTGGTTGTGATGGTGGTAGAGGGTGGTACTGGTAGTGATGGTGGTAGAGGGTGGTACTGGTTGTGATGGTGGTAGAGGATGGTACTGGTAGTGATGGTGGTAGAGGGTGGTACTGGTAGTAATAGTGGTAGAGGGTGGTACTGGTAGTGATGGTGGTAGAGGGTGGTACTGGTAGTAATAGTGGTAGAGGGTGGTACTGGTAGTGATGGTGGTAGAGGGGGGGTAGTGATGGTGGTAGAGGGTGGTACTGGTTGTGATGGTGGTAGGGGGTTTGGTACTGGTAGTGATGGTGGTAGAGGATGGTACTGGTAGTGATGGTGGTAGAGGGTGGTACTGGTTGTGATGGTGGTAGAGGGTGGTACTGGTTGTGATGGTGGTAGAGGATGGTACTGGTAGTGTTTGGTGGTAGAGGGTGGTACTGGTTGTGATGGTGGTAGAGGGGGGGTAGTGATGGTGGTAGAGGGTGGTACTGGTAGTGATGGTGGTAGAGGATGGTACTGGTAGTGATGGTGGTAGAGGGTGGTACTGATAGTGATGGTGGTAGAGGGTGGTACTGGTAGTGATGGTGGTAAAGGGTGGTACTGATAGTGATGGTGGTAGAGGGTGGTACTGGTAGTGATGGTGGTAGAGGGTGGTACTGGTAGTGATGGTGGTAGAGGATGGTACTGGTAGTGATGGTGGTAGAGGGTGGTACTGGTAGTAATAGTGGTAGAGGGTGGTACTGGTAGTGATGGTGGTAGAGGATGGTACTGGTAGTGATGGTGGTAGAGGATGGTACTGGTAGTGATGGTGGTAGAGGGTGGTACTGGTAGTAATAGTGGTAGAGGGTGGTACTGGTAGTGATGGTGGTAGAGGGTGGTACTGGTAGTGATGGTGGTAGAGGATGGTGCTGGTAGTGATGGTGGTTAGAGGGTGGTACTGGTAGTAATAGTGGTAGAGGGTGGTACTGGTAGTGATGGTGGTAGAGGGGGGTTTACTGGTAGTGATGGTGGTAGAGGGTGGTACTGGTAGTGATGGTGGTAGAGGGTGGTGTACTGGTAGTGATGGTGGTAGAGGGGGGTAGTGATGGTGGTAGAGGGTGGTACTGGTAGTGATGGTGGTAGAGGGTGGTACTGGTAGTAATAGTGGTAGAGGGTGGTACTGGTAGTGATGGTGGTAGAGGGTGGTACTGGTAGTGATGGTGGTAGAGGGTGGTACTGGTAGTGATGGGGGTTTAGAGGATGGTACTGGTAGTAATAGTGGTAGAGGGTGGTACTGGTAGTGATGGTGGTAGAGGGTGGTACTGGTAGTGATGGTGGTAGAGGGTGGTACTGGTAGTGATGGTGGTAGAGGGTGGTACTGGTAGTGATGGTGGTAGAGGGTGGTCCAGTGATTCTCAAGCTGGTCCTAGGAGCATTAATAAACCAAGAAGGGAGGTAACCCCACCAAAGGACTTGGTACCTGAAGTCTTTATGGAAGGGGATTCTCCTTACAAGCAATAGACAGTCCTGAGTCTCCCCTGCTGCTGGCACATCACTCATCAACAACTCCATAATGAAGGTAAGTGGTATTTAATTATTGTTTATTTTACATGTCCCATTCCTTTCCATATAAGGAAATGTATATTTCATGTAAAAAAAAAAAAAAAAACAGACTTTGGGGTGTCAGGAACAGATTAATTCTATTGCCATTATTTCTTACGGGGAAAATTAACTCAACCAATGGCAATTTCGACCAGCGGCAAGCCCTCTGGAACGGATTAATGCCGTTGGTTGAGGGTCCACTGTAGTTTTAAAAAATATGATGAAAAATCTTAGTGTAGTTTCATTGATGTTTTTCATAATTATGACTGGTTTTTTTTTTCATCTCAGACCTTGGAACATGATCGCTTTAAAGAAGCATTAGCAACACAACGTGAGGAGGACGCCAAACTACTAGAAAAAAAAATTAATACCAAATTAGAAAGACAAAAACAGCAGCTGGAAGTGGAATACAAGTATGTATTAAATGAATGTTGTTACTGTATTGTTATTGAAGACATTTAGTAATATGCTTTAGTTAAGCTTTTTAATATGGCATCTCAATGTAGTACAGCCTTGTCTTCAGCATCCAATGTTTAATTTTTTCTTTGTAGCAGTTAGTGTTTCTCTGGGCCATTTTTTTTTCTAGTAAAGCTCAGGCATGTCTCAATACTGCATTCTTTATTTTATGGCTGCCTGTTTGATGCTGTGGTAGGCACAAATATTATTTCTGTATTACCTACTTGTAATTGAGAGTATGAATGTTATGACACAATGTTGAGTAGTTGTAAATTGCTGCTCCCAACAATGAATGACCAGGACAAAGTTTACATCATTCATCGTAACTCTCACTTTACGAAGGTTATTGAAGCCAGTCTTAACACCATTGTAGAGTACCTACTCTAACATTGTAACCTAAGATGATTACCACTGCCAACACTGTCACCCATAACACTGCCAGCTTCATTATTGCACAGGTTTTGGCTAAACTAGTTTTACTTAGTAAAGTAGTAGGTGGTTAAACTCCACATCCTGTGCCTGTGCTGGTGTGCAGGAACACATTAAAATCACTAAGAGTGTGTTATTAGTCTTGAAGATTGCATATTAATATTGTATTATATAATAAACACGCTACATAGCATTTTTTTTTTTCAACAAGTCGGCCATCTCCCACCAAGGCAGGGTGACTCAAAAAGAAAGAAAATCCTCTCCAAAAAATGCTTTCATCATCATTCAACACTCACCTCACTCATACATAATCACTGTTTTTGCAGAGGCACCCAGATACAACAGTTTAGAAGCATATATGTATAAAGATACACAACATATCCCTCCATACTGCCAATATCCCAAACCCCTCCTTTAAAGTGCAGGCATTGTACTTCCCATTTCCAGTACTCAAGTCTGGCTATATAAAAATAACCAGTTTTCCTGAATCCCTTCACTAAATATTACACTGCTCAAACTCCTACAGCTCGTCATGTCCCAAAAACAATTCGTCTCCATTCACTCCTATCTATCATGCTTGTGCACACTTGCTGAAAGTCCAACCTCCTTGCCCACAAAACCTTCTTTACCCCCTCTCTCCAACCTTTTCGAGGATGACCCTTACCCTGCCTTCCTTCCCCTACATATTTATACACTCTCCATGTCATTCTACTTTGATCCATTCTCTCTAAATGACCACACCACCTCAACAACCCCTCTTCAACCCTCTGACTAATACTTTTATTAACTCCACACCTTCTCCTAATTTCCACACTCCGAATTCTCTGCATTATATTTACACCACACATTGCCCTTAGACAGGACATCTTCACTGCCTCCAACTGCCTCCTCACTGCAGCATTTACAACCCAAGCTTCACACCCATATTAGAGTGTTGGTATCTCTATACTTTCATACATTCCCTTCTTTGCCTCCATAGATAACATTTTTTGTCTCCACATATACCTCAACACACCACTCACCTTTTTTTCTTCATCAATTCTATGGTTAGCCTCATCTTTCATGTACCCATCCTCTGACACTTCAACTCCCAAATATCTAAAACCATTCATTTCTTCCATACTCCCTCTCTCCAGTTTGATATCCAATTTTTCTTTATCTAAATCATTTGATACCCTCATCACCTTACTCTTATCTATGTTCACTTTCAACTTTATACCTTTACACACCCTCCCAAACTCATCCACTAACCTTTGCAACTTTTCTTTAGAATCACCTGTAAGCACTGTATCATCAGCAAAAAGTAAATGTGTCAACTCCCATTGTGTATTTGATTCCCCATAATTTAATCTCACCCCTCTCCCAAACACCCTAGTATTTACTTCTTTTAGAACCCCATATATAAATATATTAAACAACCATGGTGACATTACACATCCCTGTCTAAGACCTAATTTTACCGGGAAGTAGTCTCCCTCTCTTCTGCACACCCTAACCTGAGCCTCACTATCCTCATAAAAACTCTTTACAGCATTTAGTAACTTACTACCTATTCCACATACAGTAAGGCCCCGCTTTACGACATTTTGCCTTACGGCATTCCGCTAATATGGCAATGTCAAATTATGACCAAAATTTGCTATACGGCAAGCGGTCTTTCAAATATGGCGCCCCCCACCTGGTTTGTTTACATTTTCTGTGACCTCATCTATTATGTCAGGAAACTTTCCAAAATTTCAAGTGTTTTAAAGTTATTGCATATTTTATATGTACTCTGATAATTATACTTAAGTGTACCTGTACTTAAATATACTTACATACTGTGCTGGTGTGCAGGTACACATTAAAATCGCTAAGTCTCTCTCTACTCATGACGCCAATACTACGTAATAATAACCACTCTTTGGCACACTAAATGTCTCATTTTACATCAATATAGGCATTTTCATTAATCCATCTGTGATATTTTCCTCAAAATTATATATGAAACCCATTACATAGCATATAAACATGATACACTCACAGAATAAAAATTGACGTAAATATGATATTTGTTTACCAAGCAGCTGTGTAGGAATTATCGGAAGAATTACGTTTTCTCTAGTCAAACTGGGGGATAACTGTAGAAAAATATTCTTTTCGTATGCCTTTACTCTATATATAGCAATTCACGACCCTTGTGGGTTTAGTGCTTTTTATAATAATAATAATAATAATATTATTATTATTATTATTATTATTATTATTATTATTATTATTATTATTATTATTTATATTATTACAGTATTATTATGTGCATTCACTCTAAAAATGGTGTGTTGCTGTTTGTTTATTCTGAACTAACTTGTACAACTTGTACACAATGTAAGAGTATTTGTATTGTGAGGTAATTATTATTATACAAATATTGAGGTAAATGTTTTACAAACTCTTACAAATGGATGTGAATGAACTAAAAGTAGACACATATTAATACGCATTTATTTCACCTGACCAAGTGATCGTCCACTACCTGTTCAGTTTGTGTTCTTACATTGTCTCAACTCTGTATCTCGTTCTCTCTCTCGTTTACTCTCTCATTAACTAGTTGGCTCTCATTGACGATGGCGTCTAAGGTTAGCTATGATAAAAAGAGAAGTCGTAAGCCTCTTGCTTTAAGTGCCAAGTTAGAGGATGATGGTGTGCCATTCTGATTTTATTCAATAAACACCCTGCCACTCACCTCTCACACATTAATATTAATATTTTAAGGTAAGTAATAAGTGTACTCTGTGTGTATCTTACCTTTTATTGTGTTTTTAATGCCTACAGTGGACCCCCGCATAACGATCACCTCCGAATGCGACCAATTATGTAAGTGTATTTATGTAAGTGCGTTTGTACATGTATGTTTGGGGGTCTGAAATGGACTAATCTACTTCACAGTATTCCTTATGGGAACAAATTCGGTCAGTACTGGCACCTGAACATACTTCTGGAGTGAAAAAATATTGTTAACCGGGGGTCCACTGTATTTCTATTGCTAACTTAATATAAGTTAGTGTAAACTTGTTGTCTGGCATTTATTGCATATTTTATGTGTGCTCTGATAATAATACTTGTGGACCTGTGTGGTAGCTGGGTGGAGGGACAACATAACGTTTTCTCTGCTCAGCCATCAGAGAAAACGTATGAATCTGCGTTTGGCCCAGCCACTCCCTCACTCCGCTTTTGTTTACAATTTTCGTCATGAATTATCCATTACTTCTACCTTCGTTTATGATGGCATCTAAAGGTAGTTGTTAGAAATTATTAAATTCAGTGAACAAGGCATGTCGATGTTAATAATATGGCTCTGGGCCACAGTGTAGGTAGCAGGTAGATGTAACCCAGGCTATACCTACCGGCTACCTACATTGACTTCCTGCATATAAATACTACTCACCTCTCTTCCTATATTAAGACTACACATTTTTTTTTTTTTTTCAACAAGTCGGCCGTCTCCCACCGAGGCAGGGTGACCCAAAAAAGAAAGAAAATCCCCAAAAAGAAAATACTTTCATCATCATTCAACACTTTCACCACACTCACACATTATCACTGTTTTTGCAGAGGTGCCCAGAATACAATAGTTTAGAAGCATACACATATAAAGATACACAACATATCCCTCCAAACTGCCAATATCCCAAACCCCTCCTTTAAAGTGCAGGCATTGTACTTCCCATTTCCAGGACTCAAGTCCGACTATATGAAAATAGCCGGTTTCCCTGAATCCCTTCACTAAATATTACCCTGCTCACACTCCAACAGATTGTCAGGTCCCAAGTACCATTCGTCTCCATTCACTCCTATCTAACACGCTCACGCACGCTTGCTGGAAATCCAAGCCCCTTGCCCACAAAACCTCCTTTACCCCCTCTCTCTAACCCTTTCGAGGATGACCCCTACCCCTCCTTCCTTCCCCTATAGATTTATATGCTTTCCATGTCATTCTACTTTGATCCATTCTCTCTAAATGACCAAACCACCTCAACAACCCCTCTTCTGCCCTCTGACTAATACTTTTATTAACTCCACAGCTTTTCCTAATTTCCACACTCCGAATTTTCTGCATAATATTTACACCACACATTGCCCTTAAACAGGACATCTCCTCTGCCTCCAACCGTCTCCTCACTGCTGCATTTACCACCCAAGCTTCACACCCTTATAAGAGTGTTGGTACTACTATATTTTCATACATTCCTTTCTTTGCCTCCATAGATAACATTTTTTGACTCCACATATACATACTTCAACGCACCACTCACCTTTTTTCCCTCATCAATTCTATGATTAACCTCATCCTTCATAAATCCATCCGCCGACACGTCAACTCCCAAGTAGTATCTGAAAACATTCACTTCTTCCATACTCCTCCTCCCCAATTTGATATCCAATTTTTCTTTATCTAAATCATTTGATACCCTCATTACCTTACTCTTTTCTATGTTCACTTTCAACTTTCTACCTTTACACACATTCCCAAACTCATCCACTAACTAAC